TTTCATTATCAATGATAAATGCTTTAGTTAATTCAAATATAAATTTGCATCTATTTTTACAATGGTGTGCAACCATTTTCGATTTTGTTGTTTCATCATCTTGTTCAATTGTTCTTATATGTTGTTTCATACGTTTTTCTAGTCCAACTTTAGTTCCTCCATTATAAACAGCTTCACATGTACATTTTATTTGATATACATTTGATATAGAATTTGGTTTATTTGTATTTGTGCATTTTGGATGTAAGTAAAGTTAGCAGCAGATTCGAGTATTTCCGCCTAATATTCGCAACGACAGCTGTGCCAGAAAAAATATTAGTTGTGCCAGGCAGCTCATCGAATATACTATACAATGCCATAGGTTCAACAAGTTTTCACTACATGATTTGTCCACAAAATTAAAAAAATGATTAAAAAAAATCCTCTTTTTAGTATGAATAACAGTATTTCCACCAAATATTCACTCCCTATCTTGTACCACTCATGAAATCACTTGTGCCAGATACAACTCGATGAGATCTATCGATTAACACCAAATAAGTGATGATTCAACTCAGCAGGCACGGTCCAAGGAGACACTAGCTATAGAAAGCAGGTCTCGGAACCCTAAATCCGAGCAAATATTCGTTTAGATGGTTGTACTACTCGTGAAATCAACTATACCAGATAGAATTTGATGAGATCTATCGATTGATACCAAATAAACGATGATCCAAGTGACGGAACAGGGATCAGGGGGCACAGTACATTAGGGAGAAAAGAAGGCGTTCTCCTAACTGTCGAATGTTTTCTCATGAATTCAAAAATCAGTTTTACAAATATAGAACACCTTCTTGTCCGTTTCATAACCTACATAAAATTATCCCGTTATATTGAGAAAGAATATTGATTAGCTCCAAATGGGTTCGTCAGTGTTCTCAAATATATGGAATTTTTTTCTCATTGTTTTCTGCATAAAAAGTAATCATCACAACTCTTAGTTCTTTTATCAACATCTGTTTTCAACGTTGAGCTTTTAGCTCTCGATATCGTGACAGTCTTATTTACAATACACTGACAAAAACAATAAAAACAGATACAAGCAATGTGCAACAATAAGAAGGATTCTAGAAAAATTCAGAGTCGTTCAGCAAAAGAGTATACAACAATTCTTCTCTTTGATGAACTTAACAAGCTTTTCCCACAATTTGTATTGTATTGCCCATTGAGTTGTATTACATCTTAATAGAAACAATCATTTCTTTTATCTAAGTAGTAAAGAGAGAATTAGTGTCCTTTTGATTATTTTCGATATTAATCAAAAAAATCATTTTTTTCATTCGATAGAGATAAACTAGTGTTTCTTTACTTTTATTTCATCTTAGTAGAGATAGGGTTAGTTTTTCTTTAATTTTTTTTCATCTTAATAGAAATAGTCATGTTTTCCACATAATAGACATAGAGTTAGTGTTCTTCTAATGTTATGCAACCTGAAAAGTAATAGTGATTTTTTCATCTGGTACAGTTAAAGTTAGTTTTTCTTTATTTATATTATTCGACGAGATATAGGAAAATAAGCTAATGACAACGTATACTAATTCGTCAATCATTTTATTTAGTTTTGTTCGATCTAAATACAAATAGTCATTTGTTTTTCATTCAATGGAGATAAAGTTAGTGTTTCTTTAGTTTTATTTGATCTTAATCAGAAAAATCATCTTTTTTATCTAGTATAGTTAGAGTTAGTTTTTCTCTCATTATTTTTCATCTTAATAAAAATAATCATTTTTCCATCTAGTAGAGTTAGAGATAATTGTCCTTTAGTTTTTATTCCATCTTAATAGAAGCAGTCAGTTTTGCTCTGTGGAGTTCAATTATAGACAGTGATCCATGGTTTCAGATTAAGTAGATAGAGAAATATTTTCTCTGTTGAATTTGTTTTAGATAAGGATATGCTCCTTAGATAAGGTATATAAATCTTATTGGTAGATTGAGCAGCGTCCCGATTTATCTTTGTTAAGGGTTTCTGTATAGGTATAGAAATCTAATAAATCTCTTCTCACATCCTTTCGTTGAAAAATGCAACCTAGATCAGCTTTTCCGATGAGAGTCCCCGAGAAGTTCCAAATGATTGACAAAACCTCCAAGGAATACTTGAAAAGCTAGGCAAAAAAAACGAGAAATCCTTGTAGATTGCCTAAGGACTGGAGCTTCGTAGCCCCTAGGCAATCTACATGGATTTCTCGTTTTTTTTGCCTAGCTTTTCCAGTGTTCCTTGGAGGTTTTGTCAAGTATTTGGAACTTCTCAGGGATTCTCATAGGAAAAGCTGATCTTGGAGCGCATTTTTCATCATTTTAAGCTGTAATGGTAAAGAACGCGTTTCGCGAACGTGAAAACCCTTTTTTAAGAAAAGAAAACGTTTCTTAAGGATGAGAACACATTCTTGACCGTTCCATTTTGGAATGCATTCCACTTTTTATGGAGAGCATTTTTTTTCTTAAAAAAAGTTGTCTACGAAAGTGGAACGCGTTGTTTGCCATTTTTTTTGATAAATACAGGGTGGCCCAAAAGTCATGTTATCGAGAAAAAAAATTGAGTATCTCCATTACGGCTTGACAAACCGGACTCATTTTTTTGCCAAGGATAGAGGCATGTTCACACTCGAAATCCATACGGATAAGGTTAGTGAGAACCTTCGTCAAGTATCACTATTGACCGTAACAAGAAAATTTTACTTTTTCACAGATAGGAAAAGAAAATAATACACATAACAAAGGTTCTCACTAACCTTATCCATATGGATTTGGAGTGTGAATATGCCTCGATCCTTGGTAAAAAAATGAGTCCGTTTTGTCGAGCCGTAATAGCGATATTCAATTTTCTTCTCGATAAGATGGCTTTTGCACCATCCTGTATACTAGTTTTTTCCTACCTGTGTAAAAGTAAAATTTTCTTATCGAGCTCAATAGTTATACTGAACAAAAGTTCTCACTAATCTTATCCGTATGGATTTCGAGTGTGAACATGCCTCTATCCTTGGCAAAAAAATGAGTCTGGTTTGTCAAGCCATAATGGAAATACTTAATTTTTTTTCTCGTTAACATGACTTTTGGGCCACCCTGTATTTCTCACTGGATAAAAACAAATACAATCGACAATGCTTTCTCATTAGATAAAAGTTTGCTTTTACAAAGAAATATTTTTCATATTTACTATATTCATTGTTCGAAAAGAAAAGCGAACTAAATTTTTATAATTTTCAAATTTTTTCAAATTCGCATTAATTACTCACCGTCATAGTGCACCATCTCTAGTATTGTTTATCTTTTTTTTCCAACAGCCATGACATTCGTTCATTTTCTGTTATACTTAAAAGATTGGGTCATAGCGTCTAATTCATACTCTATAAAAATCACTGCAGTTTTGCGCACTTCTTGTACAAACAATATTTCATACGTACTATTATTATTTACTATTGTATTTCAAATAACTATGGCAAACATAAGTCCCGATGTTGGATATGTTCGAGAACAATACAATGCTGGCAAGAGTAAAAACGATGCGCTTAATATTCAATATAATAACAAACAATTTCAAGATGGTGATGAATTAAAAAGAGGTGATACGCAAACCGAACCTAAAGTTCAAATTAATGTTGATGCTGATTCAGAAAATTCTCATTTTACATTAGTAAATTTTTTTGTTTGACTTTTTTTTGATTGTCATTATGGATTATTATTTAGGTTATGATTGATCCAGATGCTCCTCAACGAGGTAATGAACGTGCTGGTCCATGGTTACATTGGATTCAAGCTGGTTTTGTAGGAAACGATATAAAATCTGGCAAAACTCTTGGTATATTTTTTTTTATATTTATAGAAAAATATAATCTATTGAATTCTATTTTTATTTCATAGCTGATTATCAAGGTCCAGCACCACCATCTGGTACAGGTCCACATCAATATGTATTTTTATTGTATAAATCAGATACGCCTACTTCTCAACATGGTGGATCAATTGCTGTTAGTGATTCAGGAAAACGACAAAAATATCAATTGAAAAAACTTGAACAAGATCTTCATTTACAATTAGTTGCTGCAACATCATATACTGTTATTGGTTAATTTAATATATAAAAATATGAACATTTATCTGCTTTATCATTCAACATGAACTTTATTTGATTTCTAAAAAAGAAATAACTATATAGCTATAGACTTATTTATACTTTTAGTCCAGCACAAGGTTTTTTTTCTATGTTCTCTTTCATTTTTCTGTTTGGTTTTTACGATTGATAAAAAATAACATAAGGCATCATGTAGGGTCAATAGGTACAGAATGACTTACGCACAGAGAAGACAGTAAAAATAAAAATAAAAATAAAAAAATATATATATACGTCAAATAGTTTTAAATAAAGTGAGTAAGTGGTAAACTGTTGAATTTTAGATTAATTTTATTTTGAAGATTACAAATATGAGCACAAGTGTGAGTCCAGATGTTGCCTATGTGCTTAAAAATTTAGATGAAGTTAGGCGCGATAATCGAAAACGAAAACATGATTTTGTTGTACAATATCGTGAAAATGAAAGTCTTGATGGTGATAATCTTTTGAGTAAAGAAGAAACTCAATCACAACCAAAAGTTGAAGTCGAAAACATTGATAATACAAGTTATCGAACATTGGTAATAATCTTACGTTAATTTATTTTTTAAATTTATTTTGTTTTTTTGCGATTAAGATTATGGTCGATCCTGATGCACCAAGTCGTGATGATCCTGTCAAAGGTCCTGTTCTTCATTGGCTTGTTGCTAATTTTCAACATAATAATCTTACAGATGGTCATACATTATGTAAATTTTATTTTGAACAATTCTGGTTTGAAAATAATATTTTATACTTATAAAATAGATTCATACAATGGACCTGCACCTCCAGCTGGTTCTGGTACTCATCGATATATATTCTTACTTTACCAATCAATTGATAAAATTCCTGAAAAAAAATTCGAAAGTACACAACGTTTACGTTTTCCACTTCAACAATATGTAACCGATAATCGACTTGGACTTCTTGACGCAACTTATTTTACTGTTAATAATTAAAATTTTTCAGTAATAATTTTCATTTTCCACTGAAACATTTTTCTATTCGTGCATATCGATATTTAGAAAAAAAAAATAAACATTTAAGCAAGCATATTCATCTCTGTCCTTTTTTATTCAAAAAAAAAAGCCTAATAACTACAAACAAGAAAAGTCATATACAAATTGATTTTTTTTTCAATGAGTATTATGCGATGTAAATACTGGTCGATATTTTGGTGGTGGTTCATTCGTTATTGTTGATGATAAATTCGTTAATTTTTCTTGTTCAACATTAACATGTTGTTCAATACCATATCGAAATGCACATTTACCTAACATTACTGTTCGAATTGTTTGTGTTTGTTCATGTACTTCAAATTGACCAGGACTTGCACCACAATTACCTGAACGTAATGCATCAGAAAAAATTGTTGCTAAATCACCTTCCATATATTTATAATAACCACCTGTATTATTTCGTGTACTAATCATTGCTGATATTCGACCACTAAAACGTACTTCAGCTGAAAAATCAGCTGAATATTCTTCTTCTGTTATACATAATCTGAGAAAAAAAAGAACAATTAAATTTATATTAGAAAAAAAAAACAATCTTACTCAGCATTTGCTTTTGAATTTGGTGCAACACGTATAGTTGAATCTGCTGACCATAACATTTGTGTTTCGAATGTTGAATCTCTTCCATATTCAACACGTTGTTCATGTCGAAGACCACCACCAACTTCTAAAACTTCATTTGGTAATTTAAATACAACACAACCTTCTTTTTCTTTAGTAAAACCACGCATAAATTGAAAACTTAATGTTGTTATTGTTGAACGTTGAGCACGTAATGAATATTCTTGTTCACGATCAGTATTATTTGAAAAATGTGTTTTAAATAATATTTGTGATTTAGGTATACGTAATTGAGCTGAACGAGTAAACGTAGCTTCTGATTGCCAAAAATTTACACGTTTCCAATTTAATTTTATATCAAGTTCTTCACGACGATATTTCGATTCTTCTCGACTACGTTTTGTTAATTCCCACATTTTCCATACCTAGATTAATTATTTACAAAAAAATAAAATTGCGTTAACTATGTCATAATGAAATCAATACGACACATGAAGAATCTAAGATGTTGATTTCTTTTTTTTCTTTTTTCGTGTCATTGGTTTCTTTCATGAGGAATCTACTCTCAACTGTAATCCGCTGTCTGAATTCATATTGGACCTACAAGGAAGTTCTAGTAAGAGTAGAAAAATCCTAAAAGAGTTCGAGTCTAGGGGTCTCTCAACCGAGTTATGACGAATATTGCTAAAATACGTTTCTAACACACTCTGAGTACCGTTTCACTTGGAACATATATTAGTCGATAGAGCGTGAGATTCTGAGTTTACTGAACCCCATTCTAAGCCAAAAGTTCAATAAAATAAATATTTGAAAACTGAAATCAAATGTAGCTCTATTACATATATGTTGAATTGACTAACAAGTAAAATGGCGTTCAGAGTGGCTCAATGCGTATGTTACCAATACCCACGGCCCATTTTTTGGGTATTTACTAGAAAATCAAATAATGGAATTTCGACCTGAAATTCAGTTCATTGATAAGCCTAATGATCCACAGAATATCCTGAAAAGTTTCAGCCGAAAAGAACGTTCCTTTGTCAAAATATTGAATTTTCAAGTAAACTCAATTTTTGTGGCAAACAATCATTTTTTGGAAATTCAATATCTCGGCAAAAGAATATTCCAAGGAGCACTAGACCTATATATGAGCAACACTTCAGATTGAAAGAAAATACCTAAAAATGGATCAAAATTCAGTAAACCAGTCATAACTCGGCTCGAGAGGCCTGTAGACACGAAATCTTTTAAACTTTTTCTAACCGTACAGAGATTTCCTTGCAGAGTTTTTATCTAGCGTGAGGGTCGAGGAAACGTCATTCCTTCGAAGATCGGGTAGTCCCCTAGTCAGCAAAATTTATCAAGCATATATTATTTCTTTATTCAGTTATGATAAGTCTACTTGATATCATTCTATTATGAGAATTTCTTTTTTGTTTGAAAAAATAAATTTGAAAACAAAGTATATAATCATATTCTTTTCTTATTTTCTTTTTTTGTTTTTAAATTTTGAATGTCTATCCATATGATGCAATAGTCATTATTCGATTATGTTCAGTCTATTGATCAATAAGTAAAATAATGTTATATATGCACACCTGCTGCGTATTTAGTCTCTTCCCATATGTAAATTATCATTGTTATATACGCTACAGGACGTCTTTGAACTTACCCATTTTTCAATGATTTCGTCTAAATCAACGATTGTTTTATTATGTGATCCAGCATCTAAACGTTCCTTGATTTCTTGTCGTTGAAGAGTCATAGGCTATGAGACAAAAAAAAACAAATAGCATAGAATAAATTCAAATAGTTAGGAATAGGTCAGGCGTCATATCAACACATTCGTACTAGCTGAATTTAGCATAAATGATTTACAGTCGATATATTATTTCAGTTATCATCATACATGATCAATGTGATGGCGGCATTCATAAATTATTGACATAGAAAAATAAACATACAATATTCTTTTGCTCAAGAAACGAATAAAAAAATCACATATGCCTGTGATTCAACGCATTATTCTCTTTACTCGATTCGTTTGTTTAGATAGTGAAATTAGATCGACTCAATGTATTACAGGTGTATATATATGTATATTCTACTGAAGAGGGCATACTTGAGACTATCAGTAGCATCACGATTCACTACTTCAATCAATGATTATGATCTGATTGAAGGAGAAACTAACTATAATGATTGATTCATTGATCGAACTTTTCTTTGAAATTGATAAAGCCATATTTCATAGGTGAAATATTGACTTTGTCTCGTTTTATTAGTGTAATAATTCAAATTTATGATAGAATAAATCAATTCATTGACTTACACTTTTTCTTTGATTAATCAATGTTGGGATATTTTGTATAAGTCGTTCCGTTGTTCTACCTGATATATCAGTAAAATTAATATTACTAATATCGGTTGTTGCTGACATCAAATGAATCAAATAAGTTATGGTTCTGTAATGTTGATTCAATCTTTTTCCTGCTTATTTTTTTTATAATGTTTATCGTTTCTGGCACTTATGCGCTTTCTCTTTTTCTCTTTCTATTCTCGAAATAATGAAATAGAGAGAAAATAAAAATAAAAACAAAAAAAAAACGAATAGCTTCGAATGTGCATATCCAATCGGTGGCAAGCACCAATTGAGAATAACGAAGAAGCTTGCCGTTCTTATTGTTAAGAAAAAAAAGAGAAAGAGAAAAAAAAAGAATCTCTCTTATTATCTTTTCTTATCCCTTTCGCTCTTTTACATTATGTAAATTTCAACCTGGTTTTTTTTTATATGCATCGATACAATAAGAACACAACCTCATGTTATTCAAAACTTCATATATATGTTGCGTGTTTAAAAACGATTATGTATATGTCCATCATCATTTCAAGAGAATTATTTCGCCAGAACTATTTTACTTACAAAAAAGAAGAGGAAAAAAAAGTCAATTAGTTCTTGATTTACATACACATATGGTCAAAGATGAATAATATATTCATGAGTGACCAGTAAACTTAACAGCAAGTCAATAAATGTCACGAATAATATTGTCTACAATATAATAAAACTCTAATGCGAAAAAAACTTAATTTCTATTAATTTATTATTATTATTATTATTTTTGCGAATGATTCATGAGCAATTTTCAACACTTTCATGTGTATCAATTTGATTATGTTGTTCATGATTAGTCATTTTTCGAGTAGCTGTTTTTTTATTCATTCGTTTTGGTTTCTTTTGTGATGAATTTTTTCCATGAGAATAATGTTTATTATCACTTTTAGTTTTTGTACTTGATTGAATTCGATCAGAAGTTAAATTTTTTTTATCAAGTATTTGATGATTGTTTTCATCAGTAGCTTTAATTTTATAGGTTTGTTTTTGTTGTGCAGATAATTTTCGCCATTCAGCTCTTAAAAGTTTCATTTGTTCTTTAGTTGACATTGAATTTATATCAGTTCGATTTGCTTGTTGTTCAGTAAAAAATATACGATAAGCATCAGCTTGTTTTCCTACACGATTCTTATTCTTCTTAAGTGATTTACTTGATTGTTTTGAAGAATTTTTTTTAGCCATTTTTCTTCGTCGTAACAAATAGAGATTTTATTTAATGAATACAAAAAAAAAAAAAGAAAGCTAATATAATAATTAAATGTTTCGCGCTTATATATTACTTCTCTTTACAATCTTATATTCCAACAATATTAAATTCTTCAATAAAATCTAACATCGATTGATTTTCTAAACTTTAGCTTTAGGCTATTATTAATATACAACAAGTACTCTCGAATTGATTTAAAATTTTTCTTTGATCATCATTTGATCAGTGTTCCTTATGAGAATATTTTTTTTTCCCTATGTGATTTGATCTTAATCGAACGTATTATTTAGGGAAGAAAAATGATACTAAAAAAAAAAGACTTACCGAACGGGCAACCATGTTGAATTGATTTGTAAAAAAACGAGAATATTAGAAAAAAGCACGAAGATCTAATATAGAAAATAAAAATAATTTGTAAGAAAAAAAAAATGCATATTATAAATGATAATATCCAGAGTTTGTCTATAATTGCTCTAATCTCTATTCATTCATTATATAAACAAATAATGATGTGCAGAAACGTTTGTTTTCACTAGCATGTCAGGAATCTATCATATGTTTGTAATTGATAACGAGAATATTGATATGATTTTGAAAAAAAAAAAAAGAATTTCTTCCTGTCTTCTGATCGACAATGATGATGAAGGAATTTTCGTTAGATAAATACACATAAGAATGATGAGTTTCATAGCAGATGGTGAACTGATGATTAGAACCTATAAACATGATGAAAGCATACAATGGAAAATCAAGTGTGTATGTATATATGTCCGGGTCATTCTGCCATCAGCATATGTATGAATATGATTTATGAGAATTACAAATGCATCAAACTAATAAGATAACAAGAAAATTGAAGACAAGAAATGAATTAAGATATACTCTTACTTTCACGTTCAATATGAAAAAATGAGGTTATTCTCACTAAGCTTGTATATTTATGTCCCTATTATTTTCTAATTTACTTACATATTAAAAAAGATAAAAAAGGTATATACAACTATTTAATGAGTTTTATATACAACAATTATTTTTTTTTCTTTTTTTTTTTTTCATGTAAAGATCGATGTATGTTCAATTTGTTGATCGAATAATTTTTAAGCAAATATAATTCTTCTTTTTTTTTTTTTTTTATGATATGTACTTGAACTTTTGGAATTAAGAAGAGAAGAAAATTTTTGTCATTCATTCGTGATTTCACCTTGATTTATTTGTAATTGGGATCATGTCTCTTTATATGCATATGCATAAAGCTATACATATATATATATATATATATATGTTCATCCGCCTACAGGCGTGTATGCGTTTCATTTAATTGATTAGATAGAAAGAAAAGAAGATCGACAATTGAAAATGAATTTCAATTGTGTTTGATCAGCTTCTTCTTTATATATAGTGTTGTCTTTGCTCTTTTCTTTTTTCAACAATGACAATGAGATTTATGAAGATGTTGAATTATCAATTGAATACAGACGACAATGATTGAATAGTTCAATAGAAGCCATGAATTAAGAGGAGTATATGTCAATAGATGGTTACTAGAAATATAGATATTCAAATGTCATCATTTTGATAACTAATAATGGTTTAATTTTTTTTTAACTTACGAAGAAAATTCTCCAGCTGATAAATCGCTTTTGAATCGAGATCACCTGCATTATGCAGGCTCGAATGAGCTATGAATACTTTGAAAAGCGTTCGTATGCTCAGCTTATTGCTGAGGAGATATTGGACTTTTACGATATTTTTTTAAATTAATGCTGTAGTCCAGAAAAACTGATTTTCAAATTTCGACTTGGAATTTTGTGTAGAGACAGAATTTAATGCAAATAGTTTATTGTGAAATTTTCAGGTCTTTTGATTTGTTCCTATTCTTAATTAAAAATGTAAAAGACACGTTATTACCATACTTTCAGGATATTCATAGTTTATTTGGGCCTATATAATGCGCATAGTCTCGAGTCAAAAGCGATTTTATAGGTTGGAGAGCTTCCATTGTTAGTAAAGATAGGATCGACTCAGTTCAGTCCGTAGTATGCTAAGTGAACTTCGGATTCGGTTCGGTTGAAATTTCAAAAAACCTGAACTGATCCCATTTCTAACTCGTAAATGCAAAAAAAAAGAAAGACGATCAAGTTTTGTTGGATGATCCCAAATATGCTATTAATTTTGTGCTTGTAGGTAAATAAGTAATGAAAAAGATGCAAGATAAATGAATTGACTTGAGGTTACAGTGAGTGTGAAATCTGCTTGATAATATTTTGCCTATGGATATTCCTCCCTGCCTTTTAATCATTATGTTTTTACATGATTATGATGAACATTAGCCATACAAGATATTGTAGAATGGATGATTCTTCGTTACTCATTCTTATTTTCATATGTTTATTTCAATAATGGGTGTTCATTTTCAATGAATTTCTCGAAAACAAATACAATTTAATCTTCATAAATTGTATAAATCAATGAAATATATTTTAGAGTATTCGATATAATTTTGAAATGAAAATAATATTTCTCAGATGAATTTTGAATATATTTGGAAGAGGATCTCAAACGTTATAAGTAACTCCCGATCATAAAATAGCTATATTTCAGAAAATATTAACATTTAACAATTCAATTTCATTTTATAGATAGAGAAGAGTCAGAATTATATTTTGGTAAACAGAAAAAGTCTTCATCTCTCTTGAGTCACAATTTATGAGCATTTTATAGTAAAAGAAATGAATCATCTAGAATCAGTATTTGCTGATAACAATGATCACATGAATTTAGAAGTCCTTAGCTATCATAGTCGAGTAATCGTATTCAATGAATTAAAGGTAGAATTTCATCGGCAAGAAACTCTTATATATATACATATGTTGAATTTAATACCTCTTTGTCTTTGTTAGTTATTAATCATATACATATCATTTGGGATGATATTGTTAGCTGATATATATATATGATAGTTCTGAGACAATCTGATAAACTTCATTTGATTATAGAATGGCATCTGTTCTCTGTTAAGTAAATATGCAATGGATCGGTTATATATTAATATCGTTTCACAATAAAATATAAAAAGAATTTAATCAGAGAATTTTTTTTAAATTTCTTATATCAATGGATTTCTTAGAATAATATATGCATTGAATCATACTATTAAATATAAATTTTATTCTATAAATTACTTAATGATGATTTTTAATTAGTGATGAAAATTAAAAGATTTCCAGTATAATTTAAGACATTCTCTTTCAAATTGAAACCAAGTATTTTATTTAAGTTGTAAAAATATCATTCAGGAAAAACTATTCAAAGTTAGTTTTTTATACCTGAAAATTTACAAATGATATGTTTCTCAAGTTTTTCTGCTTAATACTTTGACTTATGATTATAATAGATCACATTACCATATTAGAAGAAAATATACAACAACTTGAATCCCACAATTTATATGAAGGTTCGACACATGGTAACGATGATCAAATAACGATATAAATTTAGAGAAAATATCGATTACTTTAATTCTATTGAATGTTATCCATGAAGTCTACACATAAACATTGTTACTGAATATCTCATAGAATAAAAGTGTTTGATAAATTTCAATTAAAAGAAAATAAAGCATCGAAATTTTTCAATCATATATATTTGAAATTGTCATAGAAAATTTCTTTATAACGATTTCATTGATAAAATTCAAAGAACTAAGTATAAATAAACTTGTCAGTGCGACTCCTTGAGAGATTCACGAAAAATTAAATTTATCCCATTTTACTTTTATGCTTTTCAAGCTACTATGACTTTCATATTTTTCATCCTTTAGTCTTCTTAGGTGTAGATGACCATGTTTCATTTACCCACACCACACACACACATACACGAAAGCTCTAAATGGATTAAAATATTCTTACAGCTTGTAAAAAGTGAAATGAGAAGAATATGATTTATCGTGCGTCTAAAGAAAGTGTGAAACTCATAAATTCAAACTTTTATAAATTTATGATATATTGTCAGAGAGATTAAAATAATTTTAAAAAATGTCAAATAAATAAATAAATAAATCCTTGTTAGACTCATTTAACATCGTTATACTCAGAAAAAAACTTATTTATATCCTCAATGCATAAGTTCTTTTCTTCTAATTATAATATATACGATACACATCATAGGAAGCGACAAATATTATTTTATTTTTCCTTTTGTTGGTATTAGCCTACTATACACATTGATTTAATCGTTTAGTAAGTTTCCAAGCACGCCAACCTTTCTTTCGACGAGCTTTGACAAATACTGTCGAGTTTTGCCTGAACTTAGAATTCAATTAGTTCATACTTTTCTATGGCTGTCCTATTCTGACTCTGCTAGGTCAATAATACCACCACGCTACTGATTGACACCCACAATAAGACCCTTTTGCTACATTAAATATTAACTCTCGCAATATTTTGACCAGTTAGAATCTACAGTAGAAATCTTAAATTTTCCGAATACTTTGAAAGTTCAAGAATGATCGCAGCACGTTTATTCTAGCGCCTTTTTCCATTGCTATAGAAATGTATTCGATGATCTTTGACTTTCCTCTTCTCACCTTCTGGATGCTAGGAGACGAGCTGGAAAAATCTCGGCTTAAACTGACGCTCACTATTTTCTTCGAAGATAAATATGAGTTCCATAAAATGCGTTATAATTTGCATAGATAAGTTACTTATTGTATGTTGACAACATTTTATAGTTATTTTCAAATAAGGTGACATCAAAATATTAGCTAAACTACGATATTTTCTTGTTGTTTTTGCATCTAATTATTTGTAGTCAATAGATGATTGTTAACGATTTTTTTTCTTTTTCTATTCTTTTCATGATTCGATTACTAGAAAAAGAAGCACGTGTAGTTGAAGAAGAATTGAATAAAAAGCCACCTGCGAAAGTATATACACTACACAAGCACAGTATAGTTTGTATGTAAGAGTAATGATCA